ACACCAGTGGCCCAACCTTTGTTCCTTGCAATGCTGCTTTGTCCACATCCTTCCTCTGCCTACATATTTCAAACCAGGAGAGCCTGTTTACCACTTCCTTAGAAAGCAGACAAGTAATTTCAGAGCAGGCAGGCACTACAGGGATCATCTGCTTTAAAAACATCCCTCTTTTGACAAAGAAAGCAAAATACAAAAGGACAACTACTCAGTGGTAATTAGAATGCATTTTCTGTGTGTAGATCCATCATTTTTCTCATCATTTCAGACCAATAATTATGAGCCCTTCCTCCCTTTGTCAGTCACTGGGTACTTGATGTGTGCCACTCTCTGACTCATTAAGGAAAATGTGCAAGTTCTAGCAGGTCACTGTTCTAATCCCATGCAGAATTGCTCTGAGGGTTTAGGAACTTGGACATTGCTGGATGCATTGCATGTAATACTTTGCAAAAAGAGAGAGAGAGATGAGTAATGAAGGGGAAAGTAGCTGATTGGCATCTTGACTCTTTTCTCCAGCACCCCTGATTTCCTGAAGTGTGATGTTTTAAGAATAGAGTCTATGGGCAAATAGCAGGACAAGATCAGGACGAAGAAAGTAGGGAAGGAATGTGAACCATGTGGTGTGGCATTACAGAAGTGGAAGATGACAGGGCGAATGTTTGCCATGGATGTCTGTTGGCTGTCCCGTTCACCTTGCACCAACACCTGTGGAGCCTAGCAGACCTGGGAGGATCCTGGTGGGCATCTTCCTAGTTAGGAGAGGGGTGTCAGGGCGGGTGTTACAGAGTGAAGTATTTATCTACTACCTGTGCTTTCATATGTTCCTTCAAAGTGACATCTCTGTGCCACTAGTTTTATTGCTTCTTTTTTATTACAAAGAATACAGTATAAAAATATTGGCATAGAAAACCAGCAAAACAGGAAATGGTTGTTATTAGAATACAACTATATTATCTGTTTTGCATATAGGTTCTTCCACAGAATTCTTACAAAAATTGGCCCCCCCAAGTGTGTGTTAATCACCAGCTCTGATTCTAGTCAATCTGCAATTAATAAAATGAACAGTGATCATGCCACAGTGTATTCCTAATTTGCAGTTTTCAGGTATAGTCCTCACTACAACTCTGGTGGGGTACACACATAATATTTTTTGTGTTCTACCTAAAAGCAAATAAAGGTTTAGAGAGATTCTGTCTGTAAATAATGGTGGCAAAGCTAGACACCGGTTCCTCTGAACCCATGTGGCCTCATTTGCTTGGATGTGGTACCTGCCCCAGCAGAGCTGGTGGCTTTGTTGAGGAAACATGCACAGATTAGATGAAAATGAGTTGTATCCCTCAGCAGTGGCCCAAGAGAGGTGTCCAGGGAAGGAAGCTTTCCAGGTTGGCTGAAACAGGCAGCTCCTGAGGCAATGAAATTCACATCATACACAGCACAGAAAGGGGTTAAGCAGTATTGATACTGGAGGAGAGCTGGGACTTGAACCCAGGGACTGTCATATGGATATGGGTTTCCCATCTCACACTGTAACTACTATGCTGAGTGCTTATTCTTACCAATTTAAAAGTAGACAGAGACCTGTAGCACATAATTCAGCTCTCTGTTTTTCAAGATGAAACATAAACTGTTAGGTCCTCTGTACCCTGGAAAATGCTCCCCCTGTATGTCTACCATCACAATGAAGTAGCCCCTTGTGTGAGGAGTTATTCCTAGAAGGGTCCTGGCAGGTGCCCCTTGGAATTATTATCTTGTGCTGCCAGGCTTCCTAGCATCACCATGCTGAGGCTTGGTAGATCTTACAGTCTGAATCCCTCCCTGCTGAGGAGCCGGTGGGGATGCCTGTATATAAAATGCCTTGCATTCCTGGGGAGAAGCACCAAGTCTGGGGAATCCACAGTTTTAGATCAGACATAAGCAAGCCTGCTCTGTATCCCAGAAGAAAATGTCAAAGTCGCTTGCTGCCAACACAGACCGGAGTAACATCCCTATGAAAGGAGCTGTTAGGGCAAGCCCTTGATTCTAAGCTTTCAAATTTATGCATTCTGTCTCCTCCCATTTCCTATGATAAGATGCCAATGAAACTTCAAGGTCAGCATTTTTTAAACTGAACACATCGTCATCTCCCAAACTGGCTTTGTTCTTTGCCTTCTTATTCACTATAGTACCTAAACATTCTCAGCATTTGTCTCACCCTCCACCTCACCAGTTCTGTTTTTCTTTTTCTTTCAGTTTTCCCTCTTAAATATCTTGTCTGTCTGCACGGTGGGTGGCCCACAACCTTGAATGTTACTATAGATGCAATATGGATACTAGCTAATATGCTTGCATGCACCGTTGGCTATACTAGGAATGATTTGTTTCTCGTTTGGAGATTCTTGAGGCCAATTTATTATGCAATGCAAGCACTCCTTGGAGCCTTCCTTATTCTTTTATTGACTCCTATACTACTTCCCAGCATAGTTCTGAATTCATAATTCCCCTTCTGGAAGAATCAGAAAAGTTGCCTCACCCCTGCCCTGGAAAGAACTCACTGAGTACAGAAATAAAGAGTGTAGCAACTGCCATGTTTTAGGTTTCCATCATATTCTAGTCTTCTAGGTTTTTTAGTCTTCGGACAATATTGGAGCTGTATTGAACAGCGTACCTGCTCATAGTTACTGTCCATAACAATGCAAGAGTACATCATTTGTGGTTAGCACAGCATAATTACAGTGTGCAATCTCAAGATATGTTTCTATAGAAAAAAATAGTTATGGAGTTTCTTTATGGCTCCATATGCATTTGTTCAACCCTAAAATATTACCAAAGCAAGAGTAACTGGGAAACTATATCTGATTCCTTGAAGACGTGACAGATTCAGTCATATTTGTTGGGATCCACCTCAAAGTCCCCTTTGTTCATGACGCTGGCTTTGGACACCAGGAGCAGGTGCCTGCCAGCACTCTTGGGTCATCCCAGTCACTTCTGCACTTGCCACTCTCTGCTGGCTCCTGATGTTATCTGCCCTGTATTGTCCATTTCCCTCACCAAACCTGAATCCTCCACCATGTGATGGCCCCAGGACACCACTCAGTCTTAGCAATTACTGCAGGCCTGTTGTCTGTTAAACTCTTGTGAGTAATTTCATTTGGCTCCAATTATCATCTAGGCTGTGAACAGATCACCCTCTCTTGGAGATATTATTTCCACTTAGCTCTGAGGTTCATTACTGATATTTTTTTAGCGATGCAATCATCATCCTAGCTGACGTTGCTCTGTGTTTTTTCCTAAGCCTCTCTTGGGAGACAGTTGCAGAGCCCTCTACCTGCATTCTTCTCAGCAGTGTTACCCTCTGGTTCATGGAAGCCCTGTGCTGTGTCCCTGTGAGACCCATGTGGCCTCAAGGCATACCACAAATGAAGCTTGGCAGGCTGCTTGACCCTTACCTCCCCAGAGAAATGAAGTGCACACCAATGGAGACAGTCTAATCAGAAAGCAGCATATGTTATTTCATTGCATAAGTGTTTTTGATCCCCCTCCCTACAACTCTGTAAAATATTTCAGTCCTGACTGCATAACCTTTGGATTTGTTCTGTTTCGTAGTCCTTCATTGTGTATCCCAAGATCACCTTTTTGTGAAGATAAGAACACCCTTCATGTCCCATTCTCCAGACCCATTGGACCCCTGGCCTAAAAGAGACAGTCCAGTCGTCAGCCCCAGGCCTCAGCTGACACCATCTAGTCCTGTCTTTTGTCACTGTGTTCCCTCTGTCATTTTCTCTTACTCATGTTCTCTTCACCCAGTCTTAGTCACTCAGTATTCAGACATTAAGTGAAACCTCCATAATGCTCACTGGGAATCATCAATCACAATTTCACAGTAGAGTCTTCTTCCCTAGCGATTTCTGGTAACTCCTGACTTACTTATGAAACAATAGCTTATCAGTTGCATTAAGCTCATAGATCTATTTTAATTGCTATGTGCTAAGGTTGTTTCTTCCCCCCAGTGCCTTCAAATGAGATTTGTGTCTTGATATGCTTAGCATACTCTTGAAAGTTTCTGTAGCTTTATATCAGGCCAGTCTGGTTCATTTTTGTAACTAGTTAACTGTTTTTCTTAAAACCATGTCCAGTTCTTATGGGCAGTACCTGTAAAACCGTTTATCCAGATCATCAAAAGCCTCTGTCTGTTTGGCCATTCATACTTATGTGCCATCATTCCTGGAGCTCTCCCAGCGGGATCCTTAACTCATTGTTGAATATGCTAGTTCTTTGTAGTCATTGTCCCTTCAATGAGACAACTTCCTAAGAAGTCATCCCTCCCCTGTATTTAGATAATATATGCAGATCGCTTGCCCTGCTGTTACATCACTCTGCATTGTGAGTTCCAGTCACATGTCTGTGAAGATTCTTCAGTCTTAATTTTAAATAAAAAATGCATTCAAATAAAATTGCCCACATCGTCCTCAATGTTTCATGTGTTATTGGCCCGTTATACAATACTTCATTTTTAATTTACAAAGAAAATTAATTTCCCAACCTTTGCTTTCTCTGCCTTTTGCAATTGTGCATGAGGAGCCATTTCCACACAACTTAAAACACCACAAATACTTCTAGCTCAGTGTCCCAGTAGATTCACACAGTCACACAAATTATTAGCAGTTTCCCCTACAAAAATTATTGACAGTCTACTATATACTTTTGCAGAAATTTTTTTGGTGTTTGAAATAAAACATGTTCAAGTACCAAAGCCAGTTAGTTTTAGTAAATAGAATTTAATCAAAACCTAGCCAAAGGTCTAAGATGACTTGTATGTACCATGTTGTGCCGAAAGGTACTTGGTTTGCTGGGAGCAGAGACTAGAAGCCTAGATTCTAGAATGACTTTTCTATTGTTGAATAAATAGATGTGCAGTTGCAAAAGGAAATTATCATTTCATACACTTAAAGGGAGCTAGCAGTTTTTCCTGAAATGTACAGAATTTATGTAAACATATATGTGTTTTTTGTTTTTTAATTTTATAGGAAATGAATGTTTTGACAGTAGCATTAGTCAATCAAGACCGAGAGAATAATACTGAGAAAAGAAGCCAAGGCTTAAAATCTGAGAAAGAAGCTCTGCTAATAGGTAAGGAAATTTTTGTCTTCTTCTATTCTCTCTTCAAGAATTCTCTTAGGTAATTAATTTACATAACATTTTAGTAATTCACTTCCAACCTGCTAAGAGTCAAAATACCTTTGCCTTCTGGTCAGAAGTGAGAGCGATTTCATCAAGATTATATTACATAAATTTCCAGCTTGTGGAATACAAAATAATGGAAATTTTGCTTTTCTGTAACCATATCATCAGTTGATTGTCAAACATAAAGTTTGAGTTCCAGAACACAAATTAATGTGCACATCATATGCCAGAAATCTGGGTTTTAAAATTTGAACACATCACTTCTAGCTGGAGGCCAGAAGTTCATTGTAGTTGAAAAATTCCAGTGCAGACCAGATCACCCAGCCTGGGCGCAGCCTTGAGCCCTGACATTCATCTAAGCCTCTCAGCAGAATCCACATGGCAGGGCCAGCCCCAAGGCCAACCCTGGAATGCTGATGAAACCAGAACATCCTCACTTGTAGTGCTAGTCTAACCAAGATGATCTAATCCAGGCTCTCATGTTCCAGTGTGGGTACATGGATGCAAGATGAACAAAAATTGGCCTCTAGAAAAGGGAAGGAATTCTTAGTTTACCTGGAAATATCCCATTGTCCCTACAAAATGCATCCAGGCTGGCTTTTTCTTTAATTGGAGCAGAGAAAGACAAAGCTCTGAAGGTTCATCTCCCTTGATGTCATCAGTACATGTCACACCTCACTCTCATCAGGAAGAGTCCTAGATGTGTTAGCTGTGTGCCTGGAACCCCACTGTGCAAGGCTGTGTGTGAAGAAAGGCTGTCTCTGGAACCCTCATATGCAGAGAAGGAGAATACACAGCACTGATGCAGGCAGAACCCTGGAAGCTGGCCTGGTGCAGGGTTCCAAGTTTACCTTGGCTCCGCTGCAGCCTGGTGGAAGGTACAGACATGTGAGACAAACTGTTCCTCTGCAGTTTCATTATCTGGCCAAAGTAGCGCCTCTGGTTGCATTTTCTAAATACTGCATGTGCTCACCTCAAAATGACAGGTGCACCATAGCCTGTGGAAGCTGGCACTGGAGGAATTAAATTCAAAAGATAGTCCAAACTTCATCCATCATATATAGATTTTTCAACTACAGGGTTATTGAATATGACATCAACTTAGAGATACACCAAGGAAAAGCAATTATTTTTTTTCTCTGATGATATACGGCTGTAATAACATGCCAGACACAAGTCTCGGAAGACATGCTGACATGCTATCAGTTCCAGGAACCTGAAACGAACCCAGCTGTAGTTGGTAACTGGATTTTTCTTCTTGTGGACAATGTGTCCACCAACTCCCACAGCTGTTTTTCTTTCACTTGCTGTGGCAAAGGAGTGACTTCTGCATATTGTTTTTGGAGTATGAACAAAGCAGATGATGAGCTGCAGTAAGAGTGCCTCGTGGTTTGAGTGTGAATTATGCTGATCACTTGGAGGCTCAAAACAATAGAAAAAAGTCTCCATTTAATTTCCTTCTGCTCACTAGAGATTGCTTCCCTTTATTTGATGTTCTTGTGGGAAAACACAGCTCATTTAGAGAGCCTTCAACCTACTGACTGGGTTATGTGCCTGCACATTTGCATGAACATATGTGTATGCATTTTGTCATTTGCTTAAAAGCTTTTAAAAACCATAAGCTTTACATACTGTACATTAACAATAGATAGAAAGGTTAGGTTACATTTATAACATGCCACTTCTACTGATGGCTCTTTTTTAAAGAATCTGTTTTACAAATTTTATTTGATACATACAGTTGGAAAAAGACAGACAGACATGCATCAATTTTCTATCAGCTTGTTCTCTCAAAATGGCCAGAATAGCTGGGGCAGGGCCATGTCATAGCCAAGAGCCTGAAACGCCATTCCCAGCATATGGGTGGCAGCTGGATTGGAAGTGGAGCAGCCAGGACTTGAACCCACATTCATATTGGGGATGCAACTGGCATTACAGGTTGAGATTTAAACCATTACGCAAGGATACTGGTCCCCACTGATGTCTTTATCATAAGACAAAAATTAGAAGTCTCTCTAATTCCAGTGTATTAGAAGGGAAATTATTAGTCCAGAGTTTCAATAGAAAACACGAAGTCAACTCTAAATTTTCCATCTCCTTTTCGCATGTGAAGGTTGGGACTGAACAACAGAACTGTAGGGTGACATTCATTTTGAATCAGTGTCTGAGAATGTTCTGGTAGAGAAGAAGCTAGATATACCTGATGAAAAATAGAGTGTAATTTTTTTCGTTCAATTCCCCTTGATTGCTACTTTTCTCAATATTTTACTCTCATTAATGCCAGTTTGATAGCATGTATGACATCTTGCCACACCCATCCATAGAATACTTACGTACAAATACTTTATTGTGATCAAAGAAAGAAAAATCCTCCTAAATACTGCCACAATTTAGAAGAGTTTCTAAGATTGGGCGAGTGACTGCTACCAAAGAATGATGCTGCTATTGGCCTTTAAAGAATAGAATTTGGTTATCCATCCTTGGTAGGTACCTGAATATCATAGATGTAAAGAGCTCCCTTACAGCCTCTGGGATCTAAACATACAGTGTGCTGCAGAGAAAACTTCTCTGAACTAGGATGGAGAAGGAGGGAGTTCCCAGCCCAGAGCTGGGATATTTATTTTTTTTTTTTTTAAGAATTCTTGTAGACTGAGTGATCTGAGGAGTCCCATGATGCTGTGGAAATCTGCGGCCATCAGCAATTCTCCTTGCACTTTGTGTGGAGTCTTCCCCTGGAATAATCAAGCTGGAGGAGAGGACACAGTGGGATTTTTTTTTTTAGCCATTCTAGCCCAGAAGCACAGCAAAAAGTTTTCCTCAGCTTGGAAGTAAGAACTGGCTAATCTTTATCACATCTAGATGTCCAATGCATATGTTAGATGCTGATATATTCAGTTGAACCAAGATTGTCTTGGGAACATATATGTTATATAGGAAATGAATGTTGACACAACTTTTGATTGCTCAGAAGAGAAGAGGATTGAGAAAGGAACCACCACTGTGTGCCATCCACAGCAAATGCAAAACCAAAACTAGAGCTTTTTAAGCTAGAACTTGCCAGGTAGTTGTAAGTAATTGTGTTACTGATTTATCTGGACCAGCAATATATATTCCACTCAGAAATTCTCAAGATGAGTTTATAAAATTGCAGTCTATTTAGAGGCATACAAGCTGATACTTATTAGAGAGGAACAGTGCAGTCTCATGGATGACTTTATTTGGAGTTTTGCAGGTATGGATTCTGATGCTTTTGAGATAGAAGTTTCTAGGAGCAAAAGACAGGAGGGGACTGGACTCACCCTGTGACAAATCACAAAACCTGTGATCCCTAGGCAGTGTGAGGTGACAGAACAATTCTGAGTATTTACAGATTTTGTCTGCTCAGTCATCTCGAGCCTTACATTCACCCGCTGTAACCCTCAAGTCCTCTTGTTACACATCAAGTTAGGATGCTTGATTCAATGATTATTTTCAACTTAATCTTCCATAATCTGTGAGGACGATCATGAAAGCCACATCACCCCATAGATAGTGATTGTGTATATAAGTATAGAAACATAAGTATCCACATACAAAACCTGAACTCTGTTGTACCTTAAAACTAAAGAGGAGGAGGAAACCGCTCCTGACTCCTTGGCCTCTTTTTTATTATTATTATTATTGGAAAATCATATATACAGAGAGAAGGAGAGACAGAGAGGAAGATCTTCCATCCATTGATTCACATCTCAAGTGACCACAACGGCTAGAGCCGAGCCAACCTGAAACCAAGAACCAGGGGCCTCTTCCGGGTCTCCCACACACACGAATGTAGGATCCCAAAGATTTGGACTGTCCTTAATTGCTTTCCCAAGCCACAAGCAGGGAACTGGATGGGAAGCAGGGCCACTGGGATTAGAACTGGCACTCATATGGCATCCCAATGTGTGCAAAGAGAGGACTTTAGTCTCTAGGCTGTATCATGTCGAGTCCTCCTTGGCCTCTGTTCAACCAGCCACTTTTCTATTTCATGCATGTTACCTTTCTTTTTTCGCCTCTCTCTGTAGTTCACTGCAGTCTGGCTTGCATCCTCCTGTGGAAATACTTGTTGTCCTCAGGATCAGAGAACTTCATGGTGCCAGTTTCCCATCTCCCTCCATTTGTCAGCTGAGCTTTATGTACCTGACAACCTCTCACGGGAATATAAGAGTGCTCACGCTTCCTTTCTGGATCATCACAACATGGCCACTCACTCTTACCAATACCATCTCTCACTTGCTTTGGTAGGATTTCCTTGTCTTTATCTCTGTTGTAATTAGGGCTTCAGAGCTCAGTCTTGAAGCTTCTTAACCTGGTTGATCTCAGAGATCACCTTGTCTTCAAATCCTCTTTGTGCTGCCATGAAGCACACACCTATACCACCTCCAGCTGTCAGTCATTATCTCCATTTAGATGGCAGTGGGCATCTCAAACTTCAGGCTATAGCAGGCCTCTTGTTTCCATGTTTTGCCTGTCCTTTATGCTCCCAGAATCTGATAGAACGGTTCTTTCCAGTGGTTGCACCCAGAAACTGTGGACTCAGCCTAGACAGTTCCCTAGCCTTGCCACTTACATGAAACCCACAGTTACTGCCTCCAGTGGACTGTACCATCTTTGTAGCCCAGATCACTGCTTACCACTTCTGATCTTATCCTTACACTTTTTACTGGGGTCCTAATCTCCCTCTGGTCTCTCTCCCTGCAGCAGCTTAAGTGAAATTGTTATCATGTAATGCCCCTCCTTAGAGCCCCTCTTTTGGTTTCCTACTGAGTTTAGAATTTGTTACAGATTACAAACCCCTTTCCCTGGTATCCAAGATCCCACATGACCTGTCCACACCTACAGCTTTACACTGTCTGTAGCCCATAGAGTCATTGTCCCCATGACTTTCTGTGGCTGGCTCCTTCCTGCCTCATACTCCAGAACATTCAGTTTCTGAGAGCTGAGAGAGGCCTTCCCCAGACCTCCCAGGGTAAAGTAGTTCTCTACTAAGTGCAAACCTTTCTTACCACTACCTGAAAAGATTTACTTCTTTAGAAAGAAGAGAGGTCATCCATCTGCTGGTTTACTCCCAATATAGCAATACTAGAGCCAGGGTTGGTCCAAGCCAGAGCCAGGAATCAATCCAGGTCTTCCATGTGAATGGAAAAAAATATAATCTGCTGCCTCCCCAGGTGCTCATTAGGAGAAAGCTGAATCAAAAGTGGAAGAGCCAGGGCTGGAACTAAGGCTCAAGTGGGATACAGGCATCCTAACCCATACCTTAACTGTTGTGCCACACCCCCATTTACCTGTTTTTATGCTGTGTTTCTTATCTAGCAGGTGTGCTTTCTGTCACACAGTGTTTCTAAGCCCTTGGCACTCCATTGCTGCTGAACAAGTCATTAAAGTGTTTAAAGCCAGTGAATGACGCAGTAAAAATATAGTGACACTTGGTTGATTTAAATGTCTCTTTTTTAGTCTTTAGATCCAAAATTGAGAATAACTGGGATGGTTTTGATGGGGAATGCCAAGAATGTGTGATGTACAGCCTGTTTAAATGGACATCCCAGTAATGTGAAGGTTCTGAGACATGCAGCAGCCTCAAGGTGCTGATCATCTCCTCACCTACCTTTTATTTTACTACATCAGCCACTTACAGCTGTAATTTCTGCCATTGGAAAGCCCATTCTGAAATATGGAAGTCTACTTTGTCACGGATATGACCAAGAAGATTGTTGTTGAGACTGTCTCTTTGGAAACAGACTCTAGTTCAGATGTAGCTAACTTCCCCCCCACCGCAGTTCCTTGTGTTCCTGTAACACGCCTTTAGGTCCCTTCCAGAGTACCATAAAATAGGCTCCATTTTCAGGGGTGAGAAGACTTTCCATTAGCTTTTGATTTGCAGCTATCCCTTTTATCCATTCCCAGGGAATATCTCAGTCCCCTTAAAGGAGCTGCAAAGAGGCTTTTGTTATTTATTTAGGAATCTACTCAGAAATGAATCTTTATAATTTTTTTTAATAGGGCATAGAAACTGCATTCTCTTGGATGGCACAGGTGATGCGTGTGAGATGCTGCCGAGATGGGCGGGCCCAGGCTAAGGAGTAGGAGTGAGGGAAGACAGTGATCCCACACTGCTTCCCTTTTTGCTGTAACTCTACCAAGAGGGCAGAGCTGGGCTGCTACCTACAGAAAAGCGTGGGCAGCCTGTATTTACCTCCCCGCCTTGGCCCCACATGTATCTAGTAGCAATTGCTAAACTCCTTTAAAACAAAATAACGCCTTGTTAATATTAGCTGCAATGGAGATGCTTCTGAATGTCTTCCTAAGAAAATTCAGTCAGGAGATTATATATTTTTCCTTTAGTTTTAGAAGCAAATCATTTCAGTGAAAATGTTTCACACCTAAAACACAATAGTTATTCCAGTATTTAAAATCAGTAACAGGTTAAAGGCAAAGTCTTCTGTGAGTAAACCTCAACATTCCATTTTTTGAAATAGTTAACACATCATTAGTCACTACTTGCAGAAATGTTAAGGTTCTTGTGTAGTCCCATTTGTCACTAATAAACTAATACGAATTTTAAACGCATATGCTGGCCACTAACCAATAAATTTATCTGACGTGTATCTGTATGCATGTATCTACGTATGACAGGGTTCTAGTTCTACACCAGAACACACAAAGGCCAATTAAGGGCAGGGCTCCTGGGGTACAGATGTGGGACTGAGTTTGAGGGCCAGTGTGCAATAGTGGGGCAGATGTGTGGATGTAGAGCACTGCCAGCTTCACAGAGGCAACATGAGCACTCCAGCTCTCCTCCTTTCCTACATTCTGAGCTTCCCATGTAACCCTCCCCCTTCCTGGCCAAGCATGATCAGCCTCTTCCAGCCCCACCTCCACCCCCTTGTGCTGTCCCTGCTGTTGAAGGCATTTAAATTCACTTCACAGGCCCTTCGACACTCTTGGGAGAGGCTTGCTTGTCAGGAGATGTTGAGGGGGTCTTGAAGAAGGGATAGCGTGAGGAAAGTATTGTCAGTATGTTTTCAAGCCTCTGGGTAGTTTATTTGTAAGAGTTCTCAAGGGCATCTGCTTTCTGAGGTGCACGCCAGTCCATTAGGAGACACCTGCCTGGGTCGCCCCCAAGGCTGCAGTGCTGCCTGCACTGGAAGGGTAGAGGTCAGCTTGGCCAGCCTCCCGCCTGAGCAGTGTTCAGCCAGCAGCAGCAATGCTGCTCCCAGTACCCGCTGTCTTAGAGTACCCACACATGCTCACCAAGAGAGAGCTGGAGTTCTCTTCTCCCTCTCTTGTCCTCCTAATGGCTGAAGGTTCTGCCTGCCTATGGCTGGATTGTCTCCATGGAAAATGGTGAACATTGTTCCACTTGTCCTCAGCCTGGGTCAGCCAGGTCTCCACCCAGCAGCTTGAAAGGACAGTTTCCTGTGCATGAGCTGCAACCCTAACCCCTGTCTGCCATCTAAGGGATACAAAAAAGGGCAATAGTACAGAACTCCTTGTTCTAGTGTTTCCTAACCTTTTGCTACCAACTCACTGTTGAGATTTCCAGACATAGAGAAGTACTGGCCAGGTGGAAAAAAAGTTACATGGACATAAACTGAGCTTGGAAGCTGGAGAGGTGGGGGGCACACAGTGCATCTTCAGTATCTTTTCCATTTTGCCACTTTAAGATACTAACACTACGGTCATTACCTTCCAGCATCACCAGTATTTCATAACAGATACGTTAGCCAAAAACAGAGGGAGAATGGTAACTTCGGCCTAAAGATGGCCATTCTTAGTATCTGAGGAAGTACAGGTCAATCTCTGAGCACCAAGATTTTTAACTTTGTAGGGCGATGCAGTGTGGTGCTTCTGGCTTCGTCCTCTCCTTGTAACAACTGTAAATGTCACCATCAGAGCATCATCAGAGTTCATGCTTTCCTAGCCCTTTGTTCTCTGCTCTCAGCCCAAGAGTAAACTGACATTGCAGCAGCTAAGCTTACATGGAAGGGCTGGGAACCATGAGACCCTGCTTCACATCAAGCCAGGGCCACCTGCAAATATAGCAGGACCTGGGGCATAAATGACGTGTTCACTTGGGCTCCATGTGATTATATTTCACACAAGTAAAGGTCTTCTTGAACTGTGGCTCCTAAGCACCAACACTTGGAATAAAAAGATTGTGGAATTTATTCCATCTCGAAACCTGCTTGAAAGAGACCTTTAAAAAATGTCTGAACACAACTTCTTAATGAAGAGCTTTTGGTCTATGGAACTGGCATCATCATTTGCACTATTTTGGCATTAGCTATATGAGGCGGTGAGGATGGGAAGGCAATGTGTTTTTTTGTTGTTGGTGGTGGTTTTTTTCTCTCTCTTTTTTTGCCTCAGCCTGACAGCAGCTTTTCATTTGTCTGTACTCTGCTGACAGCTGATTTTCACAATGGAAACGCCTTCTGATTTATCATCCAACTCCAGCCAAGTCATTCATCCCCAGACCTTTAAAAATGATCTTGTAAATTTTAGCAGAAAGAAGGGGCGAGTGAGCTGGGCCCCTCCCTTTACACAGCAGTCACAAGTAGGGAGTAGCAAGTGTTTCAGGAGGAATCTATGTTTTCTTAAGCGGCAGTTAAGGGAAATATGGATTAAATACTTTTCATAACTAGCAGCTATAATTATCAGGAGAATTTGAGGCAGTGTGGTTTCTGACACAGCTGTGTGAGCCATTGGCACACCGCAGTCTACTGAGGAAAAGAAAAGAGATAATTTTATCCTTCCAATAACTACAATTTTCCATTGGTAAATCAAGCATAAAATTAGTAGTTGAAATATTTCCAGGAGCCTTTGTTTAGTAATACCTCTGTCCGTCTACCTGTTATCACCGAGTCTAGCTTTGCTGACTTCCGGCATTCCAGCAGAGAGTGTGTTGTTCTGGTTGCCCCGTTACTGGGACTGTCCAGTAATAGGTCCTGTTGAAGAAAGGCCAATTGGGAACAATGGCAGTCCCGTAATGGCAATGGCGTTGAGGCCAGACGACATTGCTTCACAAGAGCTCTTGCGTACCCTGAAATAATTTTCTTGATGTTTGTGTTTTTCCTTCAGGCATCATCTCAACGTTCCTTCACGTCCATCCTTTTGGAGCCAACATAGAGTATCTCTGGTCATACATGCAGCAGCTGGACTCCAAGGTAAGTTGCTGCCACACAGCGTGTCAGTGGCTGGCTGCAGGTTTGCTGCCTGAAAGCTGCACTTAGGAATCCAAAGACATACGAGGTTGATCAACCCTTCTCCCTCGCAGGGACCTGCCTTCTTGGCAGAGCCTTGTCTTTTCATTGCCTTTTGTCTTTATGAGGAAAAAAAACATTTAAAAACGGTCATCTAGAAGTGACAGTGATCTCAGCAGATGCCAAATTACATTGGAAAGCTTACAAAGGATTTACAATTCCAGGCTGACTTGAGCCACAGGGAGAAAGGAGGTGAAAGGTGGGCTATCAGGGCGTTACCCTCAGACCTTACTCACACAAGATTCCACATCAAGGATTCACACAATACAGGGAAATCCCTCTCACAGGATAGAAAATCTGAGTGAAGCTCCGAGGAACCAAGAGACTAAAGAGAGAGGGACAGGAGGACACCCCATTGGTGTCTGGAATTTCAGTGGACAGGCACAGGGGTCCCGTGAAAAGAAAGTGAGGCCATTGAGCCAGAGGCTCAGGGAGGGGTGCACAAGACCACAAGCCAGAGCAGTCCCTATGGCTCCTGGGAAGTCCCCACCACCAGGAAGGAAAACAGCAGTGCATGAGAGGCCCCTGCACACAGCCCAGGCGATGGTGTGGCCTTGGTCCAGGCACACCCAGGGCCTCAAGTTCCATGTTCTGGCGAGGATGCCTCTGAGCCAAGCTGAATGTTCTGTGGTTCACAAGGATTTAAATTACAACGTCGCCTTCTCACTTGGTCGCAGAGGATCCTGCTAGTGACTTTGTGATGGTGGAACTGTTTCACTTTCTAAGCCGGCCTGACACTTCCCCTCCTAAAGAAATTACCTGGAAACAAAACAATAGTTTTCCATCCCAGAGGGGGTTGAACCAAAGCAGGGTACAGGACTGCAGCCACTGCAGTATTTCTGAAGCTTCATGTGGGCTCCCCACACATGGATAAGGGTGGAGATGGAAGCTGCTTGTGTGAAACATGAAATCAGAGGAACCTGCCGCATAATCGGCCCAGGCTGTAAAAAGACACTGTCTGTGAGGGTGGCTGCCATGTGCTCGGGAGTGTCTGTGAAATTGAATAGTCTTGGGCTGTTGCCTGGTGTCTCCCTTAATGGCTAACAAGTAATTGCTTAGACTATGATGTTAGCCATTACAGCACATCTGGAATACACATAGCAGTGTAGGCAGCAATGCTCCCACTTGACTAAACAGAGGGGCAGCTGCTTACCTATTAGCAAGAGGAACTGAAAAGGTTCCTAGGGACCAAGTGAAGGAGGCAGACGATGATAACAGGCCCAGCACCATCGTAGGACCCACAGAAGAACTTGGGATGGCCAGGGCACAAAAAAAGACCTAGAACAGAACACTGCTCACACAGCCAGCTCGTGGTCCCACCTGAGGAAACACTGTCATCTTTATCAGTTATGAGCTACTCAAGTGTGAAGCTGAGCAGGGCAGGTATGTAAAGCAGAAAGCAGTGACACAGGACTCAAGGCCACATCCTGGAGAGTGGTGATAGTCAGGGTAGCACCCTGCAGCTCACGGTCCTGCCTGTGGCTGTCTGAGCCACTTTGCCTTGTGAGGGTCTCCCTCTTGGTGCCCGCTGGCTCTTCCTCCAGAGCCTCTTCATCCCCTTCAGGTTCTTCTCGCCCTTTCCTTTTCCCATCCCTCTTCCTTTTCTCCAGTTTCTTTTTTTGTTCTGGGTTCCTCATGTCCCTTCATCTTCTCACCTTCCCTTTTCTAGCTTCTCGCTTTCTTTCCTTCCTTCCTGCCTGCCCCTTTCTCTGTTTCCATCCACCAGTGCCCATCACACAGCATCCATGCTAACACAGGCCCCTGCCCAGAGTCAGGCAGAATGAGCAAGATTTACATGTGCACTGAGGGCCCAGTGTCGGCTCACCTCGTGAGAGGAAATCCAGGTCTGCAGGAGGCTTCCCTGACCACCATTCCCCTCCCTGGCCTTGACAAACCTCTCTGAGCATCTTTGCAATGCCTCAGACAAGAACCCCACTTCACCCAACTTCCCCAACCTGGATAGAAGTGACCTGGAGCCTGCCATCATGATGCTAAGAATGCTTTATGTGTGCCTATGCCAGTCTGCACATGTTCTGGGAGGCCTGTCAGGGAGGCAGTGGGCTTGGACAAGCATCAGCAGGTCAGAAAACAAATCAAGAAGATCTTGTCAGCTACCTCTGCAGCATGAATACTGCACAAGCACCTTAGTTCTGCGGAGCCTGCTCATCTCGCCTTTGGTTTTAATTGCAGCCCGTCAGCCCTTCCTGAAAGACTAAGTGACAGATTGGAAAACTTGGGAACATGCAGACTAGCCATTTCTAATCATGAGGTTTGTGATGATCTTCCCTACATTGCAGAGGGCCAAACTCTGTGTGTGAAAGAGCAAGACGTCGAAGGAGTCTGGCACCTGCTCCAACAGTGCCCGAGTGCTGCCTCGTCCTCACACATGCTGCTGAGGGAGGCAGCACCTTGCTCTGAGAGTGGGCTGGACGAGGCACCAGGAGCCTTGTTCCACTCCCTGTTGCTCCTCTCACTGGGCAGACAAGCAGTGGTCCTGTCCTCTACCCTAGTACCCTACCTGTGAAATTGTGGAGCTGAGAAGGAACACCTGACCTCAGGGAAGGAACTCGCACACAAGATGAGTAACTAGGCAAATCTCATCCCAAGGTTGGCCAGCAAGGTCTGGTGCTTTGCTTTACATGACAACTCCATGTCTCAGAGCATCTCAAGAGCAAAAAGGGACTAGTAGGAAGGGGCACACATGAACACAAAGTTACAAAAGAACTCTCAAAAGATTTGGAACGGAAGAAAGCAGAATTACAGGGACAGGGTTTTTATTGTTCATCTCCAAGAGGGTTGTCGGTATAGCGACTTCCCTGCTCCATCTCTCCTTCCTCTCTTCCGATTCTCCCTCTGCCCTTGTCACCTCATCATTACCTCCCCCCATATTATTACCATAGTACAGTCCGTTAGCATCAGTGACAAGTCCAGCATTCTGCTATTTAAGTGTATTATGGCATTGTAGGTATTGGCAATGGTGGAAAATCTAATACGTTGCCAAAGCATATTTAAACGGTTTCATTGGGAGTAAAGGGACAGTTTCCAAAGCAAAATTCTTTGGCCATTTAATTTTCTCTTGAGAAATCATAAAATGTAAAATGCCATAAAGCTGATTTTGCCAGGATGTGGAAAAGCCCAGAACACATCAAATTAATGAAAAGACAGTTTTTCCTTGTTCTTTCTTCTGGCATGCAACGTGAATGTCTTTTAAGAAAATTTTCTGGAATTTAGCTGAGAGCCGTATTGAGGAGCTATGGGACGTAGGAGTTCATTTGCAGCAGTCGGTTCTGTAATCATGCAGTACCTCTGTCCACATCATGTACATCTCCATGGCATAATCAAGCTGTCATCATGCATTACCCGCAGAAGCTTAGCGTTCCTCCCTTACACATGCGGAGGCTCATTTCCCATACAGAGTTCGTCAAAACACGAGGCCTAACCAATTTTGGCTCTCCAGATAAACTAATTATGACAATTTCAAACCCTGGTTTCATCACTTAGCTGTATGACATGGGACAACTTACTGAACATCTGAGAGCCTCGGTTTACCATCTGTGAAATGGGCTTTCACGAATTATCAAATTTTTCTAAGTGTCTGAATTATGTAAAGCTTCCAGAACAGTAGCTAGCACATAGTAACCACCATTTAAGTACTGTTTGTATAGAGTTTTGGAGAGCCCAAAACACCTTCATTCTGTAATCTTTGCCACAACCTAGAGCACAGATATATTCTGCATGTCTGCCCCTACAACTGCTAGCTAGTGTACAGAGAGCTCAGCCCTCTGACCAACTTGTAAGAGCTTCGCTGGGTTTTTCACCGAGTCTTCTGTCTTGCAAATGAGCAAATCGGTCCACAAGGTCAGTGTTGAAAGAGAGTTAACGCAGGTTGCTCATTAGAGTCCATGTCTTTTGTGCCTACATTACTTTCTCCCAGCAGGTGAAGGGTGTGTTCGCTTGTTTCATGAGCTTTGTGGTGATGAGGTCACTTACACACAGTCCTTAGCCTATACTAGGCCCACAGAGAGGAATCAGTGGATGCCATCATCACCATCTTGCTGCTTCCTCAGTAGTGCAAGTCTAGGTTCAGGGCAAAAGACACCATGAGGAACAAGATGTTGCTGAGCTTCAGTCTGTGCCAGCCAGGACTCCCCTGGGATGCTAACTGGCTTGATGTGTTGATAAAGGAATGCGTATGAGCCAGCTGAGTTGGAAGTGTGCAGGATTTTGCTGTTGGTGTTGACATCGCACAGAAGAGCCTTGGCTGTTGAGGTAGTACAGACTCCCACCATGGTCTCCCCGACTCCTGTTCTCTCTCCGTGGCCAGAGAGGCAGTGACCATGGCTATGATTTCCATTTGTCTCTCCACAGCCCTTGGCCTTCTTGCAGGTAGGCGTAGATGACTCAGAGTGAGACCCCTCAGCCAGACTGCCTGGATCGGACTCAGACCACACAAACTTACTGCCTGGGTTTTGCTATATTAGTTCCCCAGATACCCTGCACTTTGGTTTCTGCATTCACAAGTGATTTCCTGTGTTTAGAGAGTATAGTGCAACATAAATAAAGTGTTGTCAGGAGACTCTGACAAGGAACTGATCTTCGTCCATTTGCTGTTGGTAAAACACTAAAGACCAGGGAAGAACAGAAGTTGATCATGATTACATGCCAATCCACAATCTATTGATAGACAAGAAAGGATAGCTTATTTGGTTCACAGTTCCAGAGACTGGGACATCCAGGAGTGTGGTGCCAGCTTCTGGTGAGGGTCTTCTTGCCTGATCATCATGGCGGTCATCACATGACAGGACAGAGCAGGCATGCTGGCCTGGGTCTCAGCCTGGTGACTTCTTCCAGCCGTATTACCTTGCAGTATCAGTGTGTGATTTGGGGATTAGGTTTCTAGTACGCAACCTTCCAAGACATCAAACCCATAGAAGAGAGTTTCTCGAGGGTCTTCAGTTGTTACACTTGCTGCAAGATGGGACCCTGCCCCATTCCAGCTGGCACTCCTTCAGTCCCCTTAATCTGGACAAGGACAGCTACCACAAATGAGCTGAGGAAGACAGGGAGTTGGCTAAAAGGATAAGAGCCTCACACAGCTTGAAAAATCCTACCTGCTGGAGCAATTGGAAGCTGGATTTGACCTCACCTCTCACCACTTGTCCACCTTGGCTTAATGAGCACACAGCTTGGCCATAAAAGTCTGATAGCACAGAGTCATTTTCTGCCGGTATTACTGTGTGTGTTTATGTGTGTGCGTATCTAGATATACATTTCTGTGCCTAGCACGGTGTTCCATTTTACATATAATCCTCAGGATTACATTTCTATGATGCACATGCGGACAGTGAGAACTATAAATATGAAGTGATTGAGGTTATGCAGCTTGAGGCCCAGCCCAGAGTGAAAGCCAGACCTGTCTGATGGAAACCCCCACACTTCACCCAAGTCTGCCTGACCGTAAGAACGGCCTGAGATGGGAGTTACAAGTGACTCACCCAGGCTACCCCTCACCCAGTTGAATCAGGGCCACCTGAGAAGATGCCTGGGCTTCTGCCTCATTGACAAAGTACCCAAGGCCACATCTCTTCAGAAGGCTGCGCCCCTGGCTGCTGTCAGACACAGGGAGTGCTTTCCCCGCACCGATGGCCAAGACCCCGGCAATGAGCAAGAAATCCTGTCCCAAGTTTTGCCTTTGCAAGACCACGTAACCCTCTGTAAGTCACTCAGTTTCCTCAGCTATTAAGTAGAGCAACATCATAATAGGAGCATAGTGCAAGAAGTTGGTATGAAAATGGAATTGAAAGATAAATTCAGGTGCAAAAATTGTTTTAGAAATTCATGCTTTGTTTTTTGATAACACATTTGCCCTGAACTTCTTGAAGTCTCTCATGTCTGCATCAGGCATTTCACAAGAATGTGGTGGGAATGAAGTGAAGATATCATGAAGGTGTTTTACACAGTGCTCGTTGAAAGAAAACGGGCTTTTCAAAGTCACAGTGAACCTTTTGCTAATCTGTTTCGTGGGTTGACCTGGGAAACTAACAATCCTGCCATCCTGGTTTTGTGGAGAAAAAAAAAATGCATTCAGATTTCAAATCAACTCATGTGCAAATTTTAAAATGCGAGTTTATTTTAACTTTCATGACTGACGCAATGCAAAATTTTGAATTATATATCCAAGGATAGCAAATACATCGTTTGTAATATTTTCCTAGTGAATAGAAAATAACAGTTGATTTGACTTCCTGGGCTGTTTGGTGTCTCTTCTAAGTAAATATTTATATCACTAGATGGAAAGTACAGTGTTCAAAATGCCATTTCTACAGTGATTGTACCAGAAAAAAAATTAGTACCACTCTTATTGAGAATTTCTCTGTCCCCAAATTTGTGCTCAGTCAGCAGTTTTCACACCATCCTAATTAAATGCCATTCCCATTTACCAAGACTTAGAGAGACCAGTCATCTTTGTATTGGACATTTAACTCATTAAATAATGGATACAAGATTCAAACAGACATCGCACCCCAAATTAGCTACCCTGCTCATGCCATATTACACACATGGACTAGGATGCACCCAGAGGAAAATCAGAGCCATGACTGTGTAAGAACAGAGGATTACAGTTCATATGTTCTTTCTCTGGAACAAAAAATCATCCATGTAAAAAGATCATGCAAAACAAAGCAAAGAGCAGAGGAGAGAGGAAGAGAAGAGAAATACTGTTGGGATGCAGGCATCTCATACCAGAGTGCCTGGGTTCAAGTCCCAGTTCTGCTTCTGAGACTTCTGCCCCACCTGTAATTCCAGTCTCCTGCTAGAGCCCCTCTTAAGGCATCAGTGATAGCCCAGGTCCTTGGTGGCCTGCTACCCACACAGAAGACCTTTATCAAGGTCTTGGTTATTTAGCTTCAGTCTGACCCAGCCCAGGGCTGTGTTGTGGGCATTTGGAGAATAAACCAAAGAAGAAAAATTATGTACATATGAACTCTACCTGGACTTTATGACTGGTTGTCAAGATTTTATTGTCATAGGCTTGGGATTTTGTTTCCGTGCCCCAAATGTTCTCTTGCACCTCTGAAAGTTCAAGGAAAAGAAACAAGTTAGGGATGTTGAGAAATCTACCCTGAGGCTCTCTGTCTTTGCTGAGTTAAAGACCTCTGCTTCAAAGGGTAAGGAGGAAAAGATAGAGCAGGAGGAGGAAGATGTCAGTAACTCCAGAGTGGTGATGAATTTGCTCTGAGCCCAAGCTATTCCCTGCCTGGCACCCTCTGAATTGAGGGAGAAGGTTTGGGTGTGGTGCTGCAGGTAAGATCACCATCCCCTTCCCTAAGGACATTCCTTTACGGCCAACTAGAAAACCAAGGGCTGTCTGCGCACTCCCCCAAATCATCCTTTCCGATGAGTCCCTTGCCCTTGAGTGACGTTTCTTCCTGTCTGACAGATCTCTGCCAACGAAATTGAAATGCTCTTGATGCGGCTGCCACGCATGTTCAAACAAGAGTTCACAGGTGTCGGGGCCACGCTGGAAAAACGCTGGAAGTTGTGTGCCTTTGAAGGGATTAAGACTACCTAACTGTGAAGAGCAGGAAAGAAAACAAACAAAACCCCTATCTCTGAAAACGCAAGTGTGTGGAGGCGGCCGGGGCCACAGGGCCTGAGAACAGGAGGTTTGCGACTGGCCAGTCCAGGGCCTTGGTGGAGCCATCACAGCCCCGACCTTTCTGACATCTGTGGCATCCTCTTGTGAGTGGAAACGTAGTTGTGTAGCAGCTCCTTCAACTCAACCAAGCTTCATACTGTGACAGAGCTGTCTCCTCTGAAAATACCAGACAGTGAGTCCACAGGCATGGTGACAGCACAGTGGTAAAAATATACTACCTTTGAGAATTAGCTCGTCCAGCAAAATATCTAAAGTTAATGATGGTGTAGCAATGGTTGTTGCTAGGCTGCAAAGTTGTGTATGTTATGTATAGCCAAAATCATTCAATGACATTTTCCTGAAAGTCTATCTTCCTGTTTCAGAAAAAAAAAAAGTAATTTTACAACAAGGGAAAAAAATCATACCAAAAGAAAACTTGAATATGTGTCTGAACAGTTATTGTATTTTGTAAATTAAGTTATATGTTGTTCCAGGGACTTTTGCCTTATTGGAGAGGCAGAAAATATGATTGGACTCCTTGAGAATGCTTTATCAAGAATATTATTTTTCTAATGTAACAATTCTCCATCATACGTTCTTTCAACATGGACTGCATAACAATTTTCATAAAAATGTACATAAAGGAAAAATTAGTGCTACCGTCTTGTACTGTCTTGTAACATTCAGGTTTATGCATCAAAATAAACATTCAGTTACTATTCCTGTTACAAATTTTATAGCAAAGATATTAATTTTTTTCAATAAATACAACTTCTGCCATATCAGTTGTGCCAGTCCCTCTTCGATGCATTATAGTGTTTTCCTTAAAAACAGAAAACAAAAAAGCACTTTTCTCATCATTAAATCCTATAGTATATCCTGCCATTTTTCAGTTATTAAATAGGTGCATAACATACACAGGGGAGCATTCGGCCCTACAGTTTCAGTAGTGGTTTAGACACCTGTACTCCACACCAGCATGCCTGTCTTGGAGTCCTGGCTCCACTTCCTGCTAAACTGAATCTGGGAGACAGCAGATGATGGTTCAGTCAGTTGGATCTTTGCACCCATAAGGGAGAGAGCTGCATTGAGTTCCTAGCTCCTGGCGTCAGCTTGGCCCAGCTGTGGCCATAGCAGACACTTAGAGAATGAACCGGCAAGAACACACACACACACACACACACACACACAAACTCTCTCTCTCTCTCTCCACCTCTATCTCTCTCTTTCTCTGCATGTATTTCCCTGTCTTCCTTTCAAATGAATAAAATAATTAAGTGTAGTTTTAGAAATGAATCCAGCATTATGACAGAGTGTGTTAAGCTTCCACTTGTAATCCCAGCAACTCATAATGGAGTACTGGTTTGTGTCCCAGCTACTTTACTTCTGATCCAGATTTCATGCTAATGTGATAGGAAAACAGCACAAGATGGCTCACATACTTGAGCTGCTGCCATCCATATGGGCTGGAAGACCATGTGGGCTTCTGGCTTTGGTCTGCCCCAAACCTGGCTATGGCAGTCAGAGAGTGACCCAGCAGATAGAAGATCCCTGACTTCGTCTCTCTGTCATTCTGCCTTTGAAATAAATACGAAAACATATATTAAAAAGAAATGGAATCTTATTTTTAAAAAGAATATATAAAAATTATACAGTGGAGAGGTAGCAGGAAAGATTTTGTGGCATTAGAATAGATATTGTTGAAAATACTAAGAAAACAGCATACAGAATGTGAGTCCCATAAATTTTACCTCTGGGTACTCACGGGCAGGTACAAAGTAGCTAATTAGTTCATCTTATGCCGGGATTTATGTTTTCTGAAATACATACACATTAGAAAGTAAATTAAAGAATTCATAAGACTACAATTTAGATAGAATTTGGACTACTTTCTTTGAATAACAAACAGGATAGTGCTTTATCTTCCTCCCCTACCCCACTGCCATTCCACTGCTTTCTTAGATAAAAACACAGAAAGGACAAATATTCGAGATGTCAGCCAATTTTAAATAGCATGCTTGTTAGGAAGACAAAGAAACAATGGTTCTCTTTGTGCAAAGAAGCTCGTCATTTCCCATTGGACATTATTGTCCTCACATTCTTTTTACTGAGCACTAAGAAATTAAGGCACTGCTGCTCACCTCCCTCGAGTACCTACAGATACATTTGCTCAAACTAGGTAACACTGAACATGGAGCTAAATAACTTGTTTGTTAAAAGTTTTCATGTGATGTAAGGAGAGTGACAACAGTAACAACAGTGCTATGACATTCAAGCTAAATGCCAATACGACAGTAAACACCAGAAAGTGTCCCTTGCCACCTGTTGCTGCCCAAAATGCTGCCACCTCCCTAAGTCAGGCGATAATAGCAAGGGCACAACAGAATAGAGAAGACTTAGTTTACAGTTAAGGTTATCATAAAATAGGAAACCTACAAGGTTTACCTACAAAACAGTGGCTTAAAAAACGAGTTCAACAAACTCAAGAATTATAAAGACAAGGTTTTGGAGGAACCACGAGAGAAGGTACTATGGCCTATGTTACATGTATTATAAGCACCATGGATGTTTTCAAATATGGATTCTACCTTCGAAGTATTTTTGGCAGTCCTTTTAGCAGAAGAATCTCTGGCTCAGAGCTTGGTACATACATGCAGCTGTTGTGTGATTGAGCAGGGATATGGGAAGGACCTCAAATGAGATCACACAAGAACATACCGTTCCGTAATCTAACATGGCACTGGGTCCTGCATGGCAACTCAGAAGAATGAAATGGTTAATTTGGCCTCCAAAAATATTCCTGGAGATCAGTTCCTGCACAAGAAGGATCTATATGGCTTGTGCTGTTTTGTTTATACTTGAAATTAATCACATTACTTGTATAGAAAAACGTTAATTATACATTTCTGCCTATAATTATGTGAAAATATTTTTTAAAACATTTTTGAAGAGAAAAATTACCATTATTTCATATGCTATCAGGTTAGGATGAGAATTTAAAAATCGCCTAGGGGAGCAACTAACAGCGGCACCCCTGGGAGATGTCTAGGGTGCATCTATCTGCCACTCCATCTTCTGTAAACCTTGTAATAACCCTGTATGAACAAATGTTGTTGCCCCCAAGTTGTCACACAAGGAAAATGAGGCTTTAAACTTTTAAGAAATTTGACCTTCTTTGAAGTGTGTCCATTTTAAATCTAGGATTTCAACCAAAGGCTGACTTCAACACTTAGTATTTTTTTTAAAGATTTATTTTTATTATTTTTTTTAATTGGAAAGGCGGATATACAGAGAGGAGAGACAGAGAGGAAGATCTTCCGTCCGATGATTCACTCCCCAAGTGAGTGCAACGGCCGATGCTATGTCAATCCAAAGCCAGGAGACTCTTCCGGGTCTCCCAGACGGGTGCAGGGTCCCAAAGCTTTGGGCTGTCTTAGACTGCCTTCCTGGGCCACAGGCAGGGAGCTGGAAGGGAAGCAGGGCTGCCAGGATAGAACTGGCACCCATATGGGATCCTGGGCGTGCAAGGCGAGGACCTTAACCACTTGCGCCATCGCGCCGGGCCCAACACTTAGTATTTTGATTGTTCCTGTTTCTAACTTAATTGTTGCCCATCCACTCTGCCCTAACCCCACATCTCCAGTCCAGTGCGCTTCCAGTTCCCTTTTAACATGGCTCTCCTTTTTGCCTCTGCCATTCCCTGTACAGGAGTGAGAACACAAAAACTCCTTGGCACTTTCTCTCGCAGATCTACTCAGTGCCAAATCCTGACTCACGGTTTCAAGAAGAAGGAGAGTAGTGGAGGTTTGAGATCATTGTGATCTGCTTTTTCTCTGCTTCCCGGGGCAGCACTATTTTTTGCCATTCTGCTCTATGCAAGTGCGCATTCCTATCTTGTCCTGATTCTGCACAGCCCTAAATGGGAAAGCCCAAGGGCCCGGCCCCTCCTTGGAGCTTCTATCTGTTGTTTCCTGTCTCGGCTTAGCTGTCTCACACCAACTGCTTCTTAAGGTTGTCACCATCAGCTGCCCCTGCCTTAATCCCCCACTTGCGTTACAGAGGAGGCTCTTTAGGGGATCAAATCCCATATCGTTTACTTTGAACTATTGGGCAAAGCGGTTTTGCTTATGCATATTTAGAAAGTAGGGCAGAGAGTAAACAAGGATGTCGTTCTGCCTCCAGGGACCAGTTTGCTTACATACACCCAAGGGGAAAATGTTTGAATAGGTTGAAAACATCTTACATCCAGTATTTCAAGGGAGGAAATGTGAATAGTAATACACTGCATATCATTAAAAAAAAAAGGTAACCAGACCACTTCCTGCAAACATCAAATCCAGATCCATGATCACCTTTTCTGAGAAGCCGTTTCCGTCCTCTTCTCCTGTGTCCTCACCACTGCTTATATTTATAGTACAACTTTTTACTGGAGTTTACTTATTTGGGAATGTGACTGTCATTCCTAGTCTTGAAGGCAGGAGACCTCTGTTCCTCTTTTTCTACTGCTCTGAGTCCAATATGACCTGACATTTTTATATAAATAAATCAATGATGAGCCCAGCATAATGACTCAGTGGCTTAAGTCCTTGCCTTTCATGCACCAGCATCCCATTGGGTGCTGGGTCATGTCCTGCATGCTCCACTTCCCATTCAGCTTCCTCCTTGTGACCTGGGAGAACAGTGAAGGATGGCCCAAAGCCTTGGAACCCTATACCCACATGGAGACCCAGAAGAAGCTCCTGGCTCCTGGCTTTGGATCAGCTCACCTCCAGCCATCACAACCACTTGAGGAGTGAAAAAGTGGACAGAAGATCTTTTTGTCTCTCCTCTCTCTAAATTTGCCTTTTAAAAAAGGATAAATCTTTTCTAAAAAATCTGCCTCTCAAACAAAAAATAATAATCTTTAAAATAAACAAACAAAATGAAACAAAAGGAAACAAAATGAACAAAATGAAAAAAGAAAACCCTACAAAGGAACTGTGTAAGATCAAATTGGAACATGTTAGATTCAATAATAGCATCTAGAACGTTCTGCCCTCAGTTGTAATGTCTCTGTAGAACTTTTACCTTTTTATACTTTTTTAATGGAAAGATATATAGAACACTTCGCTTTGCAACCATTCATAAGTGTAAAATCTGGCCACATCAAATACTTTTGCCATGCTATCTGACGAATCATCATTTCCAGTAAAAACTTTTTTTTACCTATTAATAATTCACTATTGCTATTCTATTCCAGCCCCAGGGAACTTCTGCTTCATATGTCTTTGAGTTTGCCTAGTTTTTGTGTATCTCAGGTAAGTGGAAACATCCTGCATTTCTGCATCTGGCTGCTTTGACTCATTTTGATGCCTTCCATGCTCATCCCTATATAGATGAATTGGATTTCGATGTAAAGCTAACAAGAATTTCATTTTATGAGAACTCTTCTTCCTGGCTTAGGTTACCTATTCCTGTGGTCACCTGCCGAAGCAAGGAAGAGTCATTGATCATGTTTGACAATGCTTAAATACCACATGCAACACAATGCATGGAAGCTTACAAAGCTTGGGTGCATCTAGATGCACTTCACATTTTCATCAAGAATAATAAAGCTGAAATGACAGAAGTAGAAAACGTTGGTCACAATTGCAAAAAAAAATGAGACTGATGAAACAAATACTCATCTGACAAAAGCAGGAAGCTCAGCAAGTTTCTTTGTTCTTTGTAAAGATTGAGGATGTTGTATTTGGAGAATGGTTTTTGTTTGGGGAAGGTTTCTTCAGTCTTT